CATTATAAACAATTTGTTGCAAAGATATGTCAGGACACTTGAATTCCACTAACCTAAAGGACCTAGAGACACCATTGAGGTTAATTCTTCAGTCAGTTTAGAAAATTGCCATGTTAAATTCTTTGTATTGCTAGATAAATATTTATCGTTGCAAATCTTTCCCTTCTGTAGTGCCTTTTAGCTTACTGCAGACAGAGACCACACCTGCAGAATGCAAAGATGGAAGTACACAATGGAGCTTTGCTTCAATCAATCATCAGATCTTGCTCATTCTTCACTCTTTCAAGCAACCCAGTTCTGGAGCTTTGAATAAAACCCCAGATTAGAGACAATTTCACACTACATAAAATTTAGGTTCATACCTGTATGAGTCCTGTATTATGATTTATAAGCCACGACATTTTAATTTACATACACGTATTATTACTCAGATAAATTACTTGCAAAAAGAAGAGGTCATCGTAGATTGTTGGGAATGTGTTAATAGGATAAATGATATTTTTCCCTCCTGTCCAATCATTCTATTTGGAGCTGTCAGTGTTTTCATTTTGGGGAAACACTATAACCTAAATTGTCTGAACACAACAAATTTTGTTTTATTCAATACCATGCTTAAACAATCTGTCTCATGCAATACAAAAAAGTCATGCATTAAGCGGTGATATCAATGATAGGATGTTATATTTCAATTCTGTGCCAGTGGGAAGAAGCATTTTATTAAAAAAAAAAAAACAAGTATGGTAAAAGAAGGATTAAGCTTCTAGTCCTCATGCACAAGTCTTGATCCAGATTAGACTATCATATAAATTAGGTCTCATGATATACATTATGTTTCATGGTTTTATTTGTAAATAAAAAGCAAAATAAATGCTGCAGTGAACATCCACTAATTGAGTAAATTAGATTATGTTTTGTGTTACCCTGCCACCGTTTCCAGTTTAGTGTTTTCCAGCTACATGGATGGAAATGTCACACCAGATAAATTGAGCAGTATAAAAATTTGATTAATAAATAAATAAATAAATAAATTTTAGATTTTGTTTAATCCTTAGCCTCAACTTCTAGGTTCCACAGATCAATATTCTTTAATTAATCACTCTTGTACCATTAACTTTATTGGGTTGTTTATTTATTAAATTTCTATGCCACCCATCTCACTATCAAACAATTCTGGTCAGCTTCCAATACCATAAACAACAGAATCAAAACACTGTACCTCTGTGAGAACACAAATATAAACACAGTGGGTTTTTAGGTTTTAAAAGAAATATTAACGCTATGTTGAAAAGGGATCTGGTATGATGTTAAGAATATATTCTGCGAATGATGATGATGAAAGATCACTTATATATACTATGTTTTGTACAGGTTCATAAATGAAGCCTGATTCATTGGAGGAGGTGTGGCACTGTATTTCACTGCCTTCATTGCTTCAGAAACTGCAGCCTCCCTACCATCCTGAGCTTCATCCAAAGCATGAAAAAAGATAACAAGAGAAAACTGCTTTTCCTTTGGAGTTTTTTCAGATGAGGAAACCATAGCAGCAAGAAAGCTGGAAAATGAAGATATATATAAGAAAAGGGAGGGGGGGATAAATCATTATCATGACCACGCAGCAATAAATGAAACAAAAGAAAAGAAATTAGGAGCCATTCTAAGACCAAAATGGAGCCTCTTTTGCAGAGGAAGGAAACAGGAAATTAAGAGGGCAGTTTTTAGTCCCTAATTATTTTTCTAGTTTTCCTGTGACTTTTTACCTAATAGAAAATCCTTAAAGCTAGAGAAATCTGCATAACAAATGTTAAATTCTACTCTCTGAAGAGTGAGAAATTTAATATTAATACCCTTTTTAGAAATAATGAGTGTCTAGTGTATCTCTTGTACATGGTTATCCCCCTGCAATATTCAGTAATACAGAATGCAATAATTAATTCTCCTTCAGATTACTAATCTTGCATGCAGTTATTTAGAAATTACCACAGAAGCAAGAAAATTCATAACGTAGTAACACCGCCATATATGCACTATGTACAAGGACACAATTGCCTCAGATTACAAGTCAAAGTAAATTACTTAGAAGTCCCATTATACTCAGCAGTGTAGCTGCTATGTAATCATTCTTAAGATCCCAGAGTGAGGTTTGTTCTCCACAAATCCCTTTGAATTTTCAGTAAAAAAAAATTTTGTTAGTTATTTGTGTTTTTACAACAACACATGCTATTTTATGATACCTTACTGTCTTGTATTTAATTTTGTTTTATAAATAACAGGAATGAAGTAGGTGGCGAAATTGTACATAACATGGAACTAGAGGTCTCTAATCTAGATAGCTTCAAGATATTGATGGATTGATAACAATTGGGACCAATAGTTATATATTAAGTGATTTGGCATATAAAAATGAACTAAAAAGACAACAAAAATTAGTTATTTTCTTTTTTCTAAATGCTTTAAAAGAATTTCTGGTCATTTTCTAAATTTTTCAAATTTCAATTCAGTTTTGCTGGATATAATGCATGTATAATTTAGTCCAGCAATTAAGCTTTTTACAGTAGTCCATAAGCATTTTTTATTCTAGTCCTGCAATATGTCCCATAAGGATAAATAATCAGTGACTTCCATTATTTTTAATATGCTTGTTACATAATGTATACAATTCATCCTTGCTGGGTTTAACACTATCTCAATTAAGATGAGCTAAAATAGTAATACTGAAATAAAATAATTACATTTTGATAAAAAAAATTCTACAGCTGAAGAATTCTATAGCTTGGATCTCTAATCTCATCTTTGAAGTTTAACAGCTTAAAGAAATTGGTTCAATTTTAGAAAAATATTCTGAACATATGCCCTGCATATGTTTGCATATTGCACATTTTTAAAGAACATCAACAAGGCTCTTTGTAGTATCAGAAGTTACAATTAGAAAACATTACTTTTCATTCTAGAAAATGGAAACAAAATCCAACCAAAATTGAAATATTTCCCCAAGCATAATTTTAATTAAATTTTGATAAACTGCTTTAAACTATTTTCACCATTCCCATTTATACATTATATTGTAGATATTAATATTGCCATCTTATAAAGTTAGCTTTATATTTCTGGTCATAAGTTTAATATAAGATGAATGGAAGTAAATGAATTCAGTATTCTTAATGCTGCCTTTCCCAGTCTTATATAGGCCGCTACATATATTGGATTATTATTCCCATCATCGACATCCAGCTTCAGGCTTTGCACCGATAGATTGCTGAATTAATGTCCTGATTATTCACTGAATATGATTTTGATGCAAAATATTATGTTGAAATAATCCATTTTAAGTTATTTATTAAGTTATTTATTTTAAGTTATTTATTATACTACAATTTAGAACTCTGAAAATCACCAATGAGATTTTTAAAGACACAAGTTCTAAAAGGTTAGTATTTCATTTATTAGTTAGTATTTCATTTATTTTGGTCTAATTTTTAAAATTGTGACTCACCTAAAGCCTTGCAGTATTTTGTGACTAGAAGACAATCCAATAGTACTTGCAACCAAATTTATTGTTGCAGAAACTACAGCATCACAAATTCTATTTAAATTGTCCTTATCCAAATTTATTGTTGAATTTTGAGTATCAATTAGTTACTGTCATTACTAAACCAGAACTGAAACATTAATAATTCTCTACTACCCCTTTTAAATGTACATATCTGGCATATGCTTACACACTTTCCTCCTTTCCTTTCTGTTTCCCTTTCCACTCCTCTTTCTCCCTTTTTTCTTTTCCTTTCCTTTCTTTCCTTTTTTGCATTTCCTCCTTTCTCTTTTATACCTTAGAAACACATAGGTAATTTGATATCATGATTATATAAATGCTATCTTACAAACAACAAATTAACTATAATTAAACCTGGAATTAGCTCATAATTCTTTTTTATGTTGTCAGAACACTGGAATAAATCAATGCGTAGCAAATAATATGATGCAGTTTTACATACAAACATAAAAAACTGGTTTTCCTCTTTCTGCAACCAGTATTTATGATTTCACGTGGTAACAAAGAAAAGGGATTAAAATCTGTTCAAACTATATGGAGAATCTACAGCCATCCAGATGTTGGACTTATATCAAGGCAATGACCAAGTATGCTAAGCAGTCTAATCCAGCAACTTCCCAGGATACCTACAGGTAATTCACATGTGATATTTATGCTTCAACTGAAGCATTCAATTAGAATGTTTCTTATTTTTGTGTTCAGAAATTACTAACACATGCCATAAATTAATAAATTTTGTAATGAAATATATTTGCAATGTAACACAAATGAAATAACTGTCCAGATTTGCCATTGGATAAGTTATATAATATTATATCACATTTAACACTAAAATCTATATTCATAGATCACAGTACAGCAAGAATTGTTTTTTAAAAAACCTATACCCTCTATGTCTAAGAATATATGGATGGAAATTTTCTACATAGTATAACCTTATACAGAATTTGAGTTAGAAACAACCCAGATGCAAAAACCAGTATTTGATTGGATTTTTAAAATCCACAATGTATGAAACAGAGTCAACATAAGCAAAAAGAAAAACACAATCTTTTTCTTTAGAATTCTCTTTTTAGAAAAATATTTCAAAGTACACTGAGATGCTGCTAATAATTATTCTAATATCTAATAGTGACCCATCAATGACAAATTTAGAATAAAAAATCAGTCCTGTATGCAATGTATTTCCTTCTTGAGTTCTGCAAAAAATTGTACCATTTTTGTATCTTGAGAAGGGAAACAAGAACCTAACAAACGAAAGATGAAATGAAATCCCAATCTACCTAGCTCCTCATAGACAAATTTGAAATATGTATTTTAAAAACAAATCGGTTGTTAAAAGCAAACAGCCCCCCTCCTTCAAATTCTTCTTATTTTCTATGTTTTCCAGACCAAAATGCAATTTTCCGTGTTGCCCAGCTACCTTTGACACTGACATAAAAGTAAAAAGAAGGCAAGTTGGACATGAAACCCATTTATTCTGAATCTAAAGATCATCAGCATTTTGGTTACATTGACACATAGAAGGTGAATTTTAACTCAACCTGAGGTTTCTTCTTTTTTATTATTTTGAAATCAGTATTGTATACAGTATTGGATTAAGACTACTCAAAAGTCTTTGGAAGTTAATTGGGGAAACTTCAACAAAAATAAAAAAAAAGATATACAAATTATGATATATTTATAGTTGAACCACATAATCTTTGTAACCTTTCAAAGCCTCAGGATTTCAATATCCCTGATTCTGCCCCACGAATTGTCTGGTCCGAGCAAATTTGGTGTGAATCTGTTTTTATTTAACCTGGAGGGAAGATAACTTGTGGGAACACTCAGAGAGAGGCCAAATCACAGCATATATAAGCATAAGTAAATTAATCCATCAAATAAATATCAGGAAAGCAGCAAAAGATGCCCAGTGATGCAAAGAAATGATATTATATTTTACAGTATGTTTGCTTGAGATATTGACAACCTTCTGAAATAGATTCAGGTAATGTAAGAAATATCAGTCGCTGCCTTTCCAACTCAAGCTGTATTGTCTTCCACGGTGCCAACAAATGCTTTGATTAAATCAGCTGGATAACACAAGCAGCATCGTTCACTGGTTAGTTTCACTGCAAGCCTCAGAGTATACATGTGCTTGCTTTATCATATGGGTCAAATTGCCTGTCTTCTTTAGCACAAGAACAGTCAGCAAATGGAAAGAAGGATGATGGAAAACACGAATAACACAAAATAAAATAGGTTCCAATCGTGCAAAATTTGCTTCACTGAATAAAGCACTTCTTGACACAGTAATGTCCAAAAATTACCCTCCCCAGAAGATACAGATTTGAAGTTTGAATAATTGAAAAAAATCTTATTTTTGTCTTGGTGTTTTGTTTGTTTCTTTTTTTAAGGCTATGCAAACACAAAAAGAGAAAACATATAGGAACGTATCATCAGATATTGGGGTCTTCTGGCTTTGGAATAAGTCCATTACAAACACTTCTGTGGTTCCAATTAATGCATCCCTTCAAGACAAGAAGAGGAAGAAAGGGAAAAAAGGAAATGGAATCCCAACAATAAAATCCAAAATTGACTTTACAATCACAGGTATAAATTGCTCAGGTTGGTAACTTCTTTCTTTCTTAAGGATGACTGGTCATCTAAAACTAATCAGATCTGCAGATTTCTTGAGGAACTGTCAAGAGTTAACACAAAGAGTGGCATCAAGAAGTTTTCTCCTTCTTCAGTGATGGCAGTCTGATTGGGTGTTTGGAATTATTGGCAGGTCTAGCCCAGTTCTAGGAGGAGGCAGAAGTTTCTTGGGAATTGTTGTTGTCATTTAAGAACCGAATTCCTGTTCCAGCTTGCAGGTTAGGATTCACCTTGTTTTTTTCTTTATAATGGAAAGACTAAGAACCCTGAAAAGGTTGAATATTTCCATCCTCCCATGAGATTCCCTCTCTCCAGCTTGAGATGCACTTTGTCTTCTCTTTCCATCAGGAGCAAGACTCCATTGCTGGCTGCTTCCCTGGTAACGTCTTGATCTCCAGCAAAAGCAGAAATCACAGGATAGCCATTTTGCATTAAACTGACCTGCAGTGCAAAAGAAATTTGAGCTAAGTGGTCTCATGAGATTTATCTGTACAAGTTATACTCCAATGTATCGTACAAACACACATTCACATAGTACATTATAACCAAAGGGAAGTAAGTCAGCTCCTCCACGTGCAGGAAACCCAAAATAATGAGTGGGTGACAAGTAAGATAAAACACATCTCTCTCATGCAGGATGATACCGAAAGGTTTTAGATGATCTACAAATTCCTTCCCAGATCAGGCTGTCCTCTCTCTCTGTTAGTTCAGTCAAAGGAGACTGACCAGGGATGAAAAATTATACCCCTTACTAAGGCAAATAAGCCCATTTCATAACACTGCTAAACAGTAGACTAACAAATAAGATATTGCATGGGGTCCTTTCCTCATTGCCTTATTTGATGAGACTTTCGTATGATTTTGTGAAATGAAACAACTACGTAATCTAAAAAGGAACCCCTAATGTTGGTACATACCTGGATAGTTTGTCGGTTATATACTTTCACAACATGAAAACTGAAGCTATAGATTCCTTTTCTTGGTGCTACAAATATACTGGAAGCGAGGTCAAAATGGTTCCCAATATTAACTAATACCTGGAGGAGAAAAGGAAAGAAATCAGGTTGTTCCTTCATTAAATGGAAAGTGGGGTGGAGGAAAGACATTTCTCAGACAACCCTCCCCTGCTCTCCCAGCAGTGCAAAACCACTGGCATTTGCTGTACAATTAAAACGGACTGCAGGGGAAAGAGCCACTTCCTAAGGTGTTGTAAAAGGTTGGGTTCAGACAGCTGATTGATTTACCCAGTGGTGCACCCAAAGCTTCTTTGAGAGCATGAAAGGCATAGGATGGCAGCCTATGTCTGCACAGTGAAGGAGAAAACAGATCAAATCGTTGCTGAGACATACACAAAGAAGGAAAATAGTCCATTGAACAAACCACTAGATTTTACATTTTCACATGACAGCACTGAAACTAATTGTGTCTCTTGGGGCTTGCAGTATTAACATGAAATGAAAGAGGCTTAGTCATGTTTCGTGGGATGAAATGTGGAGAAGGCAGCTCAGATATTAAGATAAGTAGCGTTCTTAATCTGCATCCCTTATTCTATTTTTCTGCTCCCACGTCCATCCTAAAGCAAAACTTATTCAATTAAATTTGAACAAATAAGGAAGGTGTATATATTTTAACCCACAGAGACTCTGAACATGAACTTAGTGGTAAAAGAAAATACCAATTGCCAATTACAATAATGCAAAATGATACCTGATGCCAAGTTATAAATGTTTCAAAGCATTATCAGTATCACAAAAACAGAAAGAGTGAAGGTAAGGAAGGTCTTCATCTCAATATAATGCACAGTGCAGTCTGGTTTCTTAAATCCAAAGACAATGCAGTACAAAAATATGAGGACAAAAACTACAGGCTCTTCAGAATCTAATGAACATTCCAGAACAGATGTTTAAAGTTCTTCATACGATTAGGTTTTTTTTTAATTATTTGCAGAATCAGATCTTTAATCTTTTCTGTAATCCACATTTATGTTGCCATAACTATTTGTTAACACTTGTTTGGGATCTTATTTTTTGACCCCTGAATAGTAGGCTTCCAAATGGGAGGATCGTAATACAGTCACTGTTCATTGTTTTGTCTAGCTATGATATAGAGCTTGTGAATTTTAGAGCTTATTACACCTGTTGTAAAACAGGTTTCATGTTACAAAACAAACAGAAAAATCAAAACTTTATTATTTTTACTTCTCAGAAATCTGCAGCTCTGAGCCCTTTTAAATATAATTAACTCTTAAAGAATTAAGTGAAATGTGCACATATGTAAAACATTTTTGTTAAGTGTGACTGAATATACTGCAGTTTATTTCCTTAGATATAGGATTCCAGCTTGATCTTCTAAACAGAAACTACTAATTTTTATTACTGATTTATTTATGTGTACATAGAAAAGCCACAATAATGAAACTATAATTTCAATCTTTTGTTTTAAGACAATGTTTCATGAGTTGAAGGTATGAATATGACAAAATGGTAGACATAAAGTATTCCTAGAATAACTGACACATTTATTTGCCTTTGTGTATCACAGAAAACTCAGAATAATTCTGTTAATATTAAAACTCTGCCAATTTAAATTGCCACGATTTTTTAAAATTTTTCTCTTTTTGTATTACAACAAAATATATTTAACATAAAATTCCTACAGGTTTGAAGAAGCTATTCTTTGGTTGAAGAGTTACGATAAAATGCAACAATAGTACATACAATGCATATAATATTATTCTAATCTACTTAAGCAGTTAGCCTGAGGTGTATATTTGTATCTACACAATGATTTTAAAAATAGTTAATTTTAAAAATTCCAATGCATCCTTCTTTGTTTATTTCTGGACTGGCAGGAACCCAATAATAGGTTCTTTAAAGATTTCTTTATTAAATTTTTCAGCTTGTCCCCACTTGGCATTACACTCATGTTGTGCAGAATTCTACAGACTGTCTTCCCTGTCCAGTTTATAGAAGAATGTCCCAGAGTCACCAATTTGGTGAAATGAGATGTAGCTATGTCTTTAAAAGGACACATGCACTGAAGTCAAGCTTGTTCCAATAAAATGAGAAAGGTGTCCTTGGCGGCATTTATTGGTGGACACACTAAAAGGAAATTCATAAAATCATGATTCTCATCCAAGAAGGTGATGAGGAACAAGTGCTGCCAAGATACTGGCTGTGAATTATTGTAGTGGTTGTTCTTAAGATTCCTGAAGGAAGCGTGAACTTGACAAAGAACCCTGGTGAAATAGGACACTATAGCAGAGAGGACACATATGGAGGAGGGTTCGATAAGAATCTGGGCAGAGAATATCAAGTAAGACCATACCTAGCTGGTGCAGATAAAATGGGTCATTTGAACAGAGGCAGAATGTGTTTTAGGAGATGAGAACTGGGGAATCAATAGAGAACAGTGGTCCCAGATGCTAACGGAAGGACTCAGCGGGGAAGAGAATGGAGATGGAACTAAGGCTAAAAGACCTTACAAGGGGCCAGAAACGTGCGACCAAGTCTTCTTAACACAAGGGGGAGTTGGGAGCAAAGCGTTCAGTGGTTGGATGGGATGAAGGCTCACCGTGTGAAAGGGGAGGGAGGTAAGGAGGGCAACTGGGCGGGGCTTTGACTTTGTTACTGATTCTGGGAGGGGCTTAACCAAGAGCGAGGTTGGCGGTGGAGAGGGACGGAGGGGGAGGGGAAAGAAGACTGGCGCGCCGCCTGACCTGGTCGAAGTAGATGGTCATGGTGCGGTTGCTCATCTCAGACGGCTCGTGATTGGTGCTGCGCGTGGCCGAGAAAGCCACCTTGGCGCTGCCAGAGCGCACGGAGATGCCCAGCGATGAAGTTATGGCGCCGTCGGCGGAGGGGCTAGAGTCGCATACCACCAAGCACTTGCCCTCCAGCACGATGGGCTCGGTGTCATTCTGCGCGCCCACCGCCGGGCAACTGGTGGGCAGCAGGAAGAGCAAAAAAGCCAGCACCGCCGCCATGCAGGAGTAACTGCCAGCCGGCTCCGCCAGCGCTCCCCGCTGCCGCCACCACAACCGCCGCCCGGGCATCGTGTTGCAGGGCCCGTCACCAACCGGAGAGTCCAAAGGGGGCGGCGGGGCGGCAGCGAACGAGAGCTGCCTTTACTTTCCGGGCGGGCGCGTAAGCCGTGGCTCTGCTTGGCTTGGCCCCGCCTGCGGACCCGCACGAGCCCCGCACCAGCGCTCTCTGGCGCGCTTCTTCTCTCAGCCACGGACGGGGCAAACGGCAGACTTCACAGGAAGGCGGGAGGCGCGCAGCAGTCGCAGCCTGCAAAAGGGAAGAGAGCGAAGAAAGGGCGGTCAGACCTAAGCGGAGCTTGGAGCCACGCGACCACCTCCGCCCCCCCCCCCCCGCCCTCTCCTCAGCCCCCACAACTCTCTTCCTCACGGGCCAGAGTTTTGGAGCTTTCCCTCTCCTGAGGCGCGAGGAAGCAAAGCAAAGGAATGGCGTCCTTTAGAAGGAAACGCTTTCCTCAGGCACACGGGCAGACAAAGGGCAACGGGACGAAAGACTGGGATTTAAAGGTCTACCTAGGGCGTCCCGCGACTGCGTTGGACTGCGAAACTAACCGCCCACCTAGTCCGGTACCTCAGTTTCCCACAGTGGCCAGAAATAAATAAATAAATACTTAGATATGAAGGTTTCTGCATAAAACTGCTTTCTCGGAGGGAAAACAAGCGAGCGTTAGGATGTGGGGAGAGGGTTGCCCTGCAGCTTTTCGCTCGCTTCCCCGTTCGTTCGCCACGACGGGGAACGAAAGATAAATTTATTTGACCCGCTATAATAGAAGCTTTTTTTCCCCTCTAGCCGTTACAACCTTAAGTCTGCAAGATGGGACAAGTGCTAAGCCCAGCTTGACCCCCAGGCTTGATTTTAACTCACTGGGACTAAACCTCACCGAATACATGAGGGGCACATTATATGTCAGACTAAGCTACGCCTCCTCCCCTCAAAAAAATAAATAAATAAATCTAAAACCCCCAAAAATGGCAAAAGCAGCCCTGCCCCTCCCATACCCATAATAAAAACAACTATCGGCAATTCTTTTCAGACTGTAGAGAAACCACACACTAGTGCTCTTATTTCTCTCGCATTCCTCATAAACCCCGAGGGAAAAGGAGACGTTCCTGCGCCATGCGCGGTAAAGAGTTACTCGCCTCCATCGGGCATTGAACACCAGAACGGGATAAATTAAATACAAACTCCCGTCTCTGTCTCCTCTCGCCTCCATTAAGTCCCCTGCCTGTGAAGTCCGTTAGGTTTTTGTTTTTTTTCCCTTCCTTCCCATCACCTTGATTCGGCGCATCCAAGCTGCTTTTCCCTCTCGAATTTCCTTTCCAAGGAACCCTCGCTCAGCTTCTACTCCCCGCCGGTACTGACCTCTCTCCTCGCCCGGTTGCAGCAAACCCGCCCGGTAAAATCAAAGCGGGAATAGTGTAGAACCACTTGAGAAGTTCGGGCTGGCTGTTTCTCAAAAGTTAAATCTCGGCGACTCGGAACTCTTGTTGCCTTCCCCCGCTCCCCATCTCCCGCTCTTCTTCTAACAGTTTTGTCTTTTGTTAAAAAGACACCTTGCTTGCTTTTTTTCCTCTCTCTCTCTCTCTCTCTCCCCCCGTTCTCAGTTTGTAAAGAAATCCGCCGGATTTTCCAAGTGGCCCAAAGGGCAAGCGAACGGACGGGGAAGCGCCTGGTTACCTGGATAGCCCATAGCTGAGGAGCGTCGGCTTTGCCAAAGCTGCTGTCCTCGAAGTTGTCTCGCTTTGGGGGGGAAAATGAGGCGAGGTTAGACGAGCGGAATAAAGAAACGAGATTCGCCTCAACACCCCCCCCCAGCCGCCCATTGACAATAATACCCCCCCTCCTTCGTTTTCCCACCCTCTCGCAGACACATTCGCACCCGTCACTGTTTCTCACACTGGATACACTCAAGTAACATTTCTCCCCCCCACCCTCCCTCTCTCTCTCTCACATACACACAGCTTCACTTTTGTCCGGCACCCAGCTAACCAAACGAGTCTAAGCGTCCTCCCCCCCCCCAAAATAGGAGATTTGTTCCTCTGCTCAGTTTCCCCTGGATATCTTTGGGAAAAGTCGCCACTACCTCCCGCCGGACGCAGGTGATACTTCATCCGGAACGAAGAAAGACGCCCTTCGGACTCCAGTTCCTTTTCAAAGAAAAGTCCCGCTTTCCTTTCATTCCCCTTGATTAAAAATAAAATAAAATAAACATCAAACGAGTTAAAAAAAAAGAAAAGAAAAGAAATCCGCTTCTCTTCTGCTGTGGTCCCTCCCCTTCGTCCAGGTAAAGGACGCGGGGCCAGCAGCCGCGTCCGAAGGCTGCTCCACTCCTTGGAGGGGCGGGAGAGGGAAGCAGCGCGGTCGCTCCCTCCCTGCCTTTGGAAGTTCCTTTCTGATCCGGGCGCTGCCAAACAGCTGGCAAGTGGTGAGAAGGGCAGGAGGTCTGTCCCTTTAAAACCTCAGGACACAGGAGTTGTCTAGGCAGCAATGCCTTATTCACTGGGCTTCCAAGCCTTCTCTTTTTTCCCCAGGAATGCCCTATCGATCGGGGATTAGATATGTGGAGGGGGTTCGGGGGAGGCGTCTTTACCCGGATGGAATGGGACGCGGCTCAGACGAACTCCAAATCTGGTTGTAGAGTGCCACCTCGCGGCCTCCGCCCTTCCCGCGGAATAATATTCAGGAATTAAAGGGATGAAGAGAGCCGGGTGGGTTAGAAAAGGGACCTCGGTAAAGGCATTCCCGAGTGAAGGATGAACTTTCAGTTAAGTTTTCGCTCCCTTAGTCGATGTGTTACCCCCCCCTTTTTTTTTTCCTTTCTTTCTTTCTTTCCCCTTCGTAAAATCACAGGGGAATCCTGCGCCCGCAAACCTTTCGCTGTCTTGGCCGAGATGCGGTGTGGGACACACACTGCAGCAGGCAAAATTAGCATTTGTTATAGGCGGTAAAATACAGACATGTACAGCTTTAAAAACGGCTTCTGGGCTTGTTGCTGCCGAAAAACAAAGCAGAAAGATCGGAGAAATAGAATCCTTTAAATGCTATCATTTACCCTACGATTGCCTTTTTATTTTTCACTCAGGAGTTATTTGGGCCAATTTTTATTTAAAAACAAAGAAAAGAACCAAATGTATTTTACCAGTGGAAAACAGCTTGTCTTCCTATCATCGACAATCCCTCTTCCTTAAGAAGTGGTAACATAATAATCAAATGAGCCCTTCATGTAATAAGGGCTGGGGGTGAAAATACTGTCCAACTGCTTCCATTTTTTATAATTTATATATAATTTAGCATTTTATGCTTTATAACATGGAATTTAAACTTCTAAGAAGATAATTAAGTCATTAGCTTTGCATTTTGGAAAGTGATATTCTCTCCCTTCTGAACAGCAGAACTACATAAACATTGCCAGGTAAAATATAAAGGTACTTCAGGGAATTGCAACCCAATATCAAATCACTGAAGCCAAATGAGATAAAACTACATATAGAATCTCTCTGTCTGTCTGTCTGTCTGTCTACCTATCATCTATCTATCCACCCATCTATCTATTTCTATCCCGCCTTCATTATTTTTATAAATAACTCATACAAAACATGAACATACATAATATTCCTTCCTCTTCCTATTTTCTCAGCAACAAACCCGTGAGGTGGATTGAGCTGAGGAAGAGTAACTTAGTCAAGGTCTTATTTGTAGTCAAACACATATGGGTAATTCTTCTTTCCCAGCATCTCATTTGGTAAATGAAGTGATTGCTAAGTGAAATTTTGCTTCATCTTTCTTTTGCTTTAGAGACCTGTGAAGGTCGTAAATGTAAGGATTGGTAGTAAATTTATCTTTAGCACTTTTGTAACTGCAAACAGTTGCTAAAGGAAGCAGTCACTAAATGAGGACTACCTGTGTATAAAAAAGGTGGGTGAACACTATTGATTTTGTTCTAAATAAGCAGTCAACAGCTTTCTTCCCTGTACTGACTACAAGCAGAAGCTAGAAAAGGGTAGTCAGGAAACTATTTCAGTCCCCCTCCGCACACCCTAATGTACCAACTTCTCCTCTTCTGAGTTCTACAGATTTTGTTAGGGAGTAGGAAGAATGTGTGCTGAACATATACCTGAGAAGGTAGGCCCCGAGACAGGACAGTTCTTAAGCAAAACCGATTGGTCTGCCCTACCAATTCAGCAGCCTGGCCTCCCCCATTGAAAAGTACTTACAATTAATTGCAACATACTGTATGCAAGAGAATGAAAAATAGTAATAGGCAGTACAATAGCACTGTGCTGTTACCATTTTAGCAAATGCTAACACATTCAGATAAAAAGTTACAGTAATTGCCCATGGCACCTATATAGTGTTTCTTTATATATCCACATCTACATCTATGTCTGCCTCTGAGAAGTTAAATAAAAATGGCTCCCACTTGCTGTGTCCAGTGTTACTGAACTACCAATCATTATAAAATATAAAATTGTTTGGTGCAATGAAATTATTCATCCAAGGGAAAATTTTCCTTTTTTTTTTTTTTTTTTTGACTGCAGAACCTGGCCACTTTAAAAAAAATCATGTTTAAGTAGTAAATGTTTTGTAATGGCACCACTCATCCTCCCTCCCCCCATAATCAGAGTTTTATAACTCATCGGAGTTACATTTTATGAAGGCAGCATGTGCGGGAGCATATGGTGAAGTGCCTTTCCAGAAATAGACTTTGGGATATATTTTTAATGTCTCTTCAACTTTTTCTACTTCTGTATTTTTTTTTTTAATCAATTCCCACATCGAGAATGAGCTTAAAGATGGCAAAGTAAATCAGGTATATATTGTTTAAGATTGCCTATACTTTTGTCTAATCTCTGCCCCTCTATGAAAACACTTCAGCTGAGGTATGGATTAACAGGTTATCATGGCTAGAGTACCAATTCAATCCTAAATGGTATGCATTTCCAAGTCAGTCAAGAAGGTGGGTGAGTTGATGATTATTCCCTAGTTTGCTTTGGAGAGTTACAAGGGGAATATGAATAGCATTTTTTAAATACCAAAAGAAGGTCACGATAAATTCTCATATCATACCAGATAGTACCTAACTGACTTAAATTAGGAAATGTTGAATGTTACACAGAGTTTCTAACAACAGCAATTTATCTGTAGAAAGTTTAAGGATCCCAAGAGGCATTCAAGGAAAGATTGTTGTTGCTACTTGGTGGAGACACTTTAGATGTCTCTATTAAACGCCTCAGAAATCTAAATAGTTTCTTCCCCCATTCTCTGTTTCTATTCTAGCCTGTCTTGCTTTTGTTTCCTTTTTCTCTGATGACTTCTGAATTGTGAGTGCATTAGGATGGAGCACCGACTTCTGGTTTAGTTATGTAATCTTGATCTTCCCTTATTTTTTTCAGGAGCTTCAAACAGATAGGTTAGTAACAAAGTCACAAGCTAATTAGTGTTACAATGGTAGATTAGTGGCTTCAAGAAAGACATCTGGAATATAATATTGATCACATTTTGGTAAATCTAAGTGGTATACTTTCCAATAAACAAATTCCTTCGCAGAGAGATCCTATGAACATGTATGTGAAACAATTTAATGACTATATGTTTGGCCATGTCTCTTCTATATTTATAGAAATCGTTCAAGCAATTGTGACAGAGCCATTTTTTGTCTTTAAATTTCTTACTTCTGTTGTATTTCTTGTATTTAAAAAGATGCCACAAAGACGAGCGGGTCAACCCAATGTCCAAAGCACCTGAAGACAGAACAAAAAGCAATGGATGGAAACTAATCAAAGAAAGAACCAACCAAGAAATAAGGAGATATTTCCTGACAGAACAGTTAATCAGGGGAATGGCTTGATTTTAGTAGTTGTGGATGCGTCATCACTGGAGGTTTTTGAGAAGAAATTGGACAACAATTTGTCTGAAATGGCATAGGGTCTCCTGTTGAACATGGGGATGAACTAGAAGACCTCCAAGGTCCCTTCCAACTGTGTTATTCTGTTCCGTTAAGTTTTCATTCTATATTTGAGCTAAGTTGACCCTCTTCTCTTTAGCTGAAATGTTTAGCTGTACAGCCTGCATATGAATAACATTTATAATAATTTGGAGTGGTCAATAATAAAGCTCTCCTCTGGAAGGGAGTGTTGAAGTTGTTCCTCAATGTCTGGTAATCTTGTGTTAGCGTTATTGCATGTTGTTTAAATTCTATTGTAACCCATTCAGAGTTAGTTATGATTGAAGTGATGAATGGATGGAAGAACTTAATGTATCAATAAGACTGTGTCCAGTTAGTTGCATACATTAGAGAATATCATTTGCAACTAGTCAGTGTTCATTAAGCATGTTCTTGAATTTTAGCAGCACAACACCCAAATTTTGGCAGCACAAATTCAACCCGATGGCAGGAAGCAGAAATTAACAGCAGCTTTTAAGGATGAAAATAATGCTGTGCCTCCCAGTAGCCATTCCCATTCACTTCTCCAACATGAAAATGATCCTAAATAATTTCATGTGGAGTCATTTTCAATTTGGGGAAAATGCAGATGTAGAGTGGAAATAGGAGCCACAGACCTCTGCGAGTAAAAATGTACTATTCTCCTTAAAACCCTAGAAATATAGGTCTGCAGAAAGTTGGAAAGCTGAAAACAACCCTCAATACGCTCCCCCCCAAAAAAAATTCCTTTCAGAAGTTGAAAATTCAATGCATTGTTTGATAATAGGGTCAACCTATTTTTCAAAACACCAAAAGGCAAGACATGAAACAATGGAGAGAAACCAATGGAGAGAAGCAACCTAGAACTAAGGAGAAATTTCCTGACAGTGAGAACAATAAACCAGTGGGACAGCTTGCCTTCAGAAGTTGTGGGTGCTCCATCACTGGAGGCTTTTAAGAAGAGACTGGAGAGCCGCATGTTTGGAATGTTATCGGGTTTCCTGATTGATCAGGTTCCATTAAAAGACCTCCAAGTTACTAAGACCCCCTGTTATTCTGTTATTCTGTTCTATTATACTGTTGCCTGAAATGGTGCTTCTAGGGTTGAGTTACTGGATCTTACAGCCCAAAGAAAAGACAGTGGCATCTAAAGTATCCTTGGGCTTCTCTCCGGGGCTTTACTCAGCATGGATATAATTATGCCAAGGCACTCATTAGACTGTGTGTAGCAAACACAGAGTGACAATTGGACCTAGCCAGGTCCTCAACTTTTATTACCAGTGAACCCAATAGCTACTCTGCCTCTCCTATGACATGCTCACACTACCTGTTCTGTCCCCCCACCTCACATAGGCAGACACACGAGCAAAAGACGTCTACCAGTAATTTATTTTTACAAGCTGAGCTGAATCCTTTGGCAGATAAAAGTTCTGGCAGCTACTTTCTGAATGCTTGCCAAGTTTCTTATCACCTCTAGAAACAAGAGTCAGCATATCTGTAGTCCGTTGCTGGGGCAACCAAGAGTTCACAAGGCACAAAAGAGTAGTCAGAAGTCATTCACAAAGTCCAAGCCTTAATTCCGAAAGATATCCCATCCGAAGCTCATGATATGCAGTTTTTATCCATCACATAGCCTGC